GAGAGAGAGAGAGAGAGAGAGAGAGAGAGAGAGAGAGAGAGAGAGAGAGAGGCAGAGAGAGACAGAGAAAAAGAGAAAGAAAGAAAGTTGTAAAACAGAGTAAAACGAGATATTAATAAAACTCTGTTTGGCCTCGTTAGATAACGCATAGTCAACGTCAAAATAAAAAAATCTGATATTCTTTGCATTTGACTGTAATGGAAATAATGTGACTTATATGCAAACAGGCAGATTTTAAAACCATTGTCTTGTTTATTAAAATATTGATGTGTTGGACGTAATATCATTTTTAATTGATATACAGGATGTTCCAAATCTCCATAATGACCCTTGGTGAGAACGTAGAACGGATTGAGATGAGCAAGAAAGTCCTGTACCGTTTTGTGATATTCGCAATAATAGTCGAGATATTAATTAAAAAAGATTAGTGAATGATCACGCGCAATATGATAGATGAGCTGCAGTGGCGCCGTTGTATACTTATACATTAAATCAAACTGAAAAATCCTTTACCATTTTGTAAAGTCCTTTACCATATAGATTTTTAGATATTAATTAAAAAAAATTTATACATTATGGTATACAATCATATATGTAACAATTTTCTTTAATATTTAAAAATTTATGTGGTCATTTGTGAAATGGTAGAGGACTTTTTTGTTCAGTTTGACTTAATATATAAGTATACAAGACGGCCCCATTGTAGCTCATCTACCATATCGCGTATGATTATTCACCAATCTTTTCTAATTAATATCTCGACTATTATTGCGAATATCGCAAAACGGCACGGAACTTTCTTGCTCGCCTCAATCCGTTCTACGTTCTCACCAAGGGTCATCATGGAGATTCGGGACATCCTGTATAGTAATTATCATGCAGCACATATTACATGTACTAAATGTCATGTAATATATTAATATTGTACATAAGAGTTTTATTTGAATAAAATTATAACTTCGCTCAATGTATAAAGGAATGTGCAAAACTATACGCGAGAAAAGAGAAAAAATTCTATAAACTTTCTTTTTATTCTATAAAGTGACTCAGAATGATTCAATAAATAACTTCAAAATTATTCATATCATTAGAATATGTTTTTCGTCGATGCTATTATTAGCATTGGAATTGTGCTTGTAAGGTAATCTTAGTCAGCTGTTGCCCATTTAAGACTATGCAAATATTAAAATAGCTATTTATCAGTTTTATAATATGCCACTTAATTTACACAGTAAAAGAACATATATTAAAATACGAATTAATGTATTTTTATTCAGGTGCAAGGGTAATTTTAGCCTGTCGTGATATTAAAAGAGCAGAGAATGCACTCGAAGATTTAAAGAATAATCCACCATCGAGGTGAGTAAGTATATAGAACAAGTTATGAAATATATATATATATATATATATATATATATATATATATATATATATTATTGCTGAAACACAGGAACGCGCACGAGATGCGAGACAGATACGCGTAATAATCTTTCCAATTTGAAACAATTTCCTAATTGATGACAATTTAATAGCCAATTGCTATCAGTTTCTAATTACTAATTAACAACGATGTAACTATTTGTATTATGAGAAAAGTATATTTTATAAAATATAATTCGCAGTGTTGCGAAAACTTCTCGATCAATTTTCGGAATTATTTTATGAGTTGGCATATTTTGATGATCAAAGTGCTATTTTTCGTTTCTACAGATGTTTGATACAGCTTTATAGAATGGCTCGGAATTCAAGAGAACAATTCTACGATAATCCGTAAAATGCTGTAGTGACAAAATAACGTATAATCGATAACTTTATTTATCTTAAATTTAATGTTACATTGATTTGAAGAAAGGCGAGTATGTGCCATTCTTCAAGTTAATTTAACGTTCGGTTTAACATAGATAAAATTACCAATTGTACATCCGGTTTAAAATAAATAAAGTTAATCCGCTAGAGTAATCAGACGCGGAGATCATCTTGATTCATTTTGAATAAAAGAGAAGTAGACCCTGCTTAAAATATTTGATAGAAAATGATTGGATAAGATTGAAATGGATAGAATTCCTATATTGATTTATACGACTTATTATGCACTGAAGTCGTACAACATAGACTTTCTATATATTTTATCATATTTTATGATACTGTTCTTTTCAATTATCTTAAATATTAATGTTTGTATAATAAATTGATATTTCTGAATCATAGTAAATATCGCATTATGTATTTATTATTATTTTATGATAAACTTCTTATAATATTCTTTCATAATAATTCTACTTATAATGATGGTTATAAAATGGCAAATAAAAATAAAAAGAATATCTACGTAGTTTAATTATATCTTATACTATTCTTTTCCATCATGTTGAATATAAAAGTTGGTGTAATCAATTTATATTTATCAATCATAAACAATATATGGTATATGAATTCACTTACAAAATTTGGTAAATAAGTTGTGAAATATGTGAATTAAAATCATCATAAAATATGATAGACAAATTTTCTATCATTTTCTATCTAATATTTTAAGCAGGGGACTTTATGTGATTCCAACAAAATGGCGTGGTGATTTTTGAATTATCGAAATTCATCGTTATCTTTCGAAACTCGTGACAATTGATCCGAATATCAACGATGATACTCATGTAAGCCTTGACGTGTAACGCGAATTGTTTGGTTAGAAAAAATCATATTATTATCGCATTATCGTTGAAAATATATCAGTTGAATAAAAAATAAAAACACGACTTCGCAATGCCGAACTCTTTTATTATTGCTAGCTGAGTTTCAAACATACAGCCTGATAATATTAATAATAACTACTAACGTGAATTTCTACTTTAACTTACTTAACACATCTCTTCTTTAATATTTTACCTAATTATTCCTTTTACGTAATATATAAAAAACTAAAAATTAAATTAATAATAGTAGAATAATAAATAATAGTAGAGTATTCGACATTGATGAGCAGATATGAACCGTCACTGCCGACTTCACGCTCTAAATCCTTTCTTTACCAGACCGACTTTCTTTGAACTGAATCTTTTTGAATTGGGTTAGCTTGGATTCAGGCAAGACGTAATAGGCGAGGCATTATAAGCGAGGTTTTATATATTAATTATGACGCATTATTAGAGTTTATTAGAATCAATTTTAGTTTCCAAGTTCTTCTATATGGTTCCAACTATTTACAATGATTAACATTTTATAATTTTTGTTCTATTAGAAGTTTTCGATAGAGCAAAGAGAAAACTTACTTATATGTTTTTAATAGGATAAATTAATCATTTAGAGTTTAATTGACATCACGATGATGTACTAAAGATTAAACTCATCTGGATTAATTTTTTGTTTTCGAAATATACTCTAATAATTGAATATTGCATTTCATTACAAGTAATCCAAACCTTTTCTATTGAAATAAGCCATGTAAATGCAATTGAGTTTCTGTCATTCAAAGTCAAGATATTCCGTCGTACAAGTGAATTTATATAAGGAAACCGGTTATATTCTTCCGTCGACTTGTTATGTAAAGAACCTGTTATGAAAAAACGCTCATAAAAACTCTCTTTTTCACAGTCATCCGACAACTTTTAGTATAGTTTAAAGAAAAACAACATGACACGACAAGCGATTGTTCTAATACCGATGGCACATTAATTTCCAGGCCGGACAGAGAACAGTTTGATGGTGGTCCAGGTGAGCTTGCGATCTACCCACTAAATCTGTGCAGCCTTAAGAGCGTGAAGGAGTGCGCAAAGAGTTTGTTGACGAAGGAATCGGCCATTCATCTCCTCGTCAACAATGCTGGAGTGATGTTGTGTCCATTCGAGAAAACGGAAGACGGTTTCGAGATGCAGCTGCAAACGAATCATCTCGGCCACTTCCTCCTGACGCTTTTGCTATTGCCGAAGATTATGTCCTCGGGACCTGGTTGCAGAATACTGAATGTGTCATCGAGACTTCATCTTCGTATGTAGGCTCAGTTAGTTGCATGTATGCACGCAACTGCGATTATTAGCAATACGTCATGTTTGCAGTAGATCAACGGTCGCTACATTTAAAGAAAAATAGAGTAATGCCAACTATATGGGTGACAACGATATGAGTTTTCTTATATGTGAAATTATAATGTATATAAAATATTTTATTAAAATATATACATTGATTTTAGATATAAAACTCGTATAATTGTCACTTAGATATTTGCTATTATCATATCTTTCTTTAGGTGTATGTAAATATGGTAGATTAATGTCTGAGAACGCAGAAGGTAACTATTGATGTTGCAGGTGGCACTATACATTTCGACGATATAAATATGGAAAAATCATATAGTCCCCTGGGCGCTTACAATCAGAGCAAACTTGCGAACGTGTTATTTACCAAGGAGCTCGCTCGTCGGTTACAAGGTGTGTGTGTGTGTGTGTGTGTGTGTGTGTGTGAGCGAGAACTGGTTCAATAAAGTCATTATAATTATTTATCTGATCGCGAAGACGACGTGATCAAAGAAGCAGATCACGAAGCTTAGAATAAGCTTAGAATATCAGTTCACAATGTTGACTTACAGGGCGGTTCATTTTATATTTAATCCATTTTACATTTGCTATCAATAATGTTTGGCTAGTAAATAAACGAATTTTTTCGTGGTCAGTTAATAATATGTTATAATAAAATTAAGATAACTCCATTAACGGGAAGCTTTAACCATCGAGGTGCATTGTAATGGTATCAATAAAATTAAAGAATAAAATTATTATATTAAAAAATAATAAATTTTGTTTTTGTTCCTTAGAAGATCTCTAAAAAGGGACGAAAGCCGTACAATATAAATTTTTACAGATAATTGGAATCACTCAAAAAGAATTTAAAAACTAAAATTGTGTTCAATGAATCTTGATGGAAGAGTTAAAGCAATTTTTACTACCGTAAGGATTTATATAAATGAAAGTTTGCTTTTCAGAAGCGAATATCAATGGGATAAATGTATATTCTTTGCACCCCGGTGTAATAAGGACGGAACTGGGTCGATATATGGATAGGTCAGTATTTCGAGGTGCGAGATTCCTATCCCAGTTGCTTTTGCGACCGTTTTTCAAGAGTCCAGAGCAAGGTGCGCAAACAACTATTTATTGTGCGGTAGATGAAAAAGCAGCGACTGAGACTGGTCTCTATTACGAGTAAGCACCCAATTATAAATTATATAGATTTAATGCAAGATATATTAAGTATTATGTGTGAAATTAAAAATTATATTTAATTATATTATAATTAAGAAGAATTAGAAATATATATTAAATATTGTCAAATGCCATGAATTATATAACATTTTAAAATGATATCACATTTATGATCGTTTCTTTGATGTTCTAAATATTTTTTCATATTTTTAATACTTAAATAACGTTTAAACAATTTCGTTTAATTTATGATTTAATAAGTAAAAATTTTGTGCAAACAAAACTTAATTTTGCATAATACGATATTTAGCTGTACGTCTATGGCGTTAAACATTCTCACGAGTGAAAATACTCTCGAACTTTCTCACTTTCGACTACTAGAAGGCCCGATACGTAACAAACGCTCGTCTCACTGAAAAGATTAATACGAGATTAATCGTATATGTTCTTGTTTAATATTTTATTGCTTTCGGCAGGGAATGCAATGTTGCGAATGCACATCGGATAGCGAATGACGACCGAGTTGTAAAGCAATTATGGGATCAAAGTTGTCATCTTCTGCATCTAGAACCAGAGGAAAATCTTCATACGTTTTTGCAAACCGTATCACGGCAAGTTGCCGAATAGCATATCCGAAATTATTGGAACCATGAATAAATATATTTATATATTGAATAAAGACTTTTGTTACAAATAAATCAACTAATGTGACCTGCATTTTTTCGTCGATTTATTATAACTTTCATGTTTAATAAACCAATTAGAGTCCTCATCGTTGCCACGATGAAAATAAAGGACTTTGGTCAATTTTCTTATGCGTTGTGCATTATGTTTTTATGCATGTGTGTTTCCCGCTTTATTGGTCTAGACAGTTTTATGTTATGTATATGTGCCTATGCAAATCCGTCTGGTTAGACCTTTATGAGTTATATGCTTTTAAGAAAAATAACACAACTTTGAACAGAATAACAAATTAATAGTTATTATATTGATACAAACACAAAATATTTGGTAAATGTTATTTAGAGATCGATGGAATAAACGTATACAGTTTACATCTTGGCGAAACTAAGAACTAAGAACGGAATTGGATTGATACTTTGATTTTTTTGAGTGCGACGCTTTTCTACCAATATATAATGTAATCTTTAATTTTCACTCTCATGTTATGAAAATAAAAGACCTATGGTCCTAGAGGCACTGTCATCATCACAGTCGTGTAGTTTTATTGCTGAAACATTCGTGATCATTATGAACAGACACGATGCACTGTCTCGTTCTAACTCGAGCGGTCCTGCGATTCATGGACCAAAATTTGATACAACTTGCCGGTAAGTCGGGTAACGCTATTAGACCATCTGGGCCCCTATTCTTGAAATAGTTATGTATACGTAAGTTTTACTGCGCAGATTTAATCATACCATAAAATAGTTGCGCAGTAAAACTTACGTATATGCAACTATTTCAAGAATAAGGACTTTGGTAGGAGATTTGTCCTTCTGGCGCTTCCCGGGCCTTTCTCTTTCTCCCACAAGTTTTTCTAAGCAGTTCTGACGCCTCATGGTGTGCCGGAAATCTTGTGTTAACGCGTTTTACGAACAACCACATGTAAAATTTCGAGATATTAAAAAAAGAAAATTGACGAAATGTTTTTTAGCGACACACATACAACATGTTCGTAATACAAGAGAGCTCACAAGTTTGAGAAATAATTCCATACGCGCCGCTTCTCCCCTTCTACCCGTTTCATCCAATACCATTTTGTGGATTTTCGTCACCATTTCTGGCGTGGTCACTTCATTTGGTCGACCACTGCGATGTTCGTCTTGGCAGTTCTTACGGCCTCTTTTAAACTCTGCCATCCAATATTTTATTGTTGTAAACGAGGGAGCAGACTCCCCCAGAGTAGAATCTAGCTCAGTTTTTATATTGGTTGGACATACGAATAGTATGTCGTAATTAGCTTACCGCCTTAGCTTAACTATTAGTCGATGTCTGTCCGTCCTAGGAGACAGTCGCGTTCGCGAAACTGTCGCATTTAAGTGAGATCTTATGTTTATAGAGTTTGTTCCACAACATCGCGCAGTTCGTTAATTTTTTTTTATTAATATCTCGAAATTTCACGTGGTTGATTGTAAACTGCCAAGAGTTTTCGTGCTTAAATAAACGTGCATTACTTTCATATGTGGTGTGTATTTTGCGTTAGGTACGCTGTATAAGTTTTATAAACAAATTGCAATAAAATACGTAGAATATGGGTCTGTTCCATGCGACATGTACAAGCGAAGTATGTCTTGTGGGCAAAACTGCAATTATAACTGGAGCAAACAGTGGTATCGGCAAAGAGACCGCCAGAGATTTTTACGCAAGAGGTAAGCTAATATTCACTACATTGAAAGGAAATAATGGTATAAGCTAACAAATAATTTGGAGATTTTAACAAAAGGTAAAGAACTTTTAGGATTTTCAGGAATTTTATAGTGTGTCCCAAAATAAGAAACACATATTCTTTTATAAGTGCCCGATTCCAATAAGAAGAAAACGATGTTAAATTTGATGGGATATCAACTCAATTAATACTAGCTGACAGTATTATTTCATGAATATTTCATAATTTTTCATTTAGTAATATAATTATTGCATACATGTTATATTATATGTATATTAAAGGAAACTATAAGATTAATGTAGTAATATTTTTTCTGATCTTTATTGAGAAAGAATAACGAAAGAATTATAATAACACGGCCAAAAATTACTTAATATATTTTTACAATAATAAAATAAATTCTTGCCCTTGTTATGATCGTTGTTATATTACAATTATAATGTTTACCACAGCGCGCAATTCAACGGCAAAAATGATTTAAACTAATATTAATCACAAGAGCAACGTTTAGAATTTAATGGTCCGCATTAAACATATTGCATATTGCAAGACTTCGAATAGACTGGAATTACAATATCATAAATTGAAAAATTTTAAATCGCAAGATCTTATTATATGATAAAAATGCGAGATTTTAAATAACAAAACCATAAAACAAAAATCATCCGTGATAAATAATGTTTTATCTAATTTTTTATCTAATGTTTCATCTAATTTTTTATCTAATGTTTTATCTAATTTATCTAATTTTAACGAATCAATTCGAAAACTTATTATTTTTGGAAAAATAACTCGGCAAATAAGAGTGCATAATAAAGCGCGATTTTAATGTTAATACTGATATTTAATGATCGTATAAATACAAAAAATCATACATATAAGAACAATATATATAAATAATAAATATACATTTTCGGCTTCGTTTTGAGTTATCCTTAGCTTAGCTCTTATTTGCTTGATTTATTTTGCTATTTTGTCATTTACATCAGTAAAGCCATTATCTATTTATTATCATTTTTATATTTTAATCAACAAAACAAACAAATTATAGTAAGCAATTACATTTAGGCGCTAGAGTGATACTAGCATGTCGAAACATGGAAAGTGCAAAAGAAGCGGTAGAAGATATAAAAAATAATCCGCCCTCGAGGTAAATATACCGATGAATACTTACTCATACCACTCTGCTGAAATAAATCATCTATTTCGTTGTCCGCAATTAATAAGTTAATGATTATTTTCAGGATCGCGAAGAGCGACTATCAAAAAAGAGCGGGCGTGCTCGCAATTTACACTCTGGATCTATGCAGTTTCAGGAGCATCAGGGATTGCGCCAAACGTTTGTTAACACAGGAAACAGCTATCAACATACTCGTGAACAATGCTGGGATAATGATGTGTCCGTACGAGTTAACGGAAGACGGCTTTGAGATACAATTTCAATCTAATTACCTTGGTCACTTTCTTCTGACGCTTCTCCTACTGCCAAAAATAAAATCGTCCGCTCCCGGTTGCAGAATAGTGAACGTGTCGTCGTTTATGAACTTTTGTACGTAGTGCAGTTCAGTAAATATCGAATTGAAACTATGAACTTTTGGGTGTAGGACATTATGTTCGGATTTTGTCTTGTAGTGTATTTGTATGGCTATCGAGAAAATATATTTGACGAAAGGAAATATATATTGATATTATATTCTTTCAGTTGGAACTATATATTTCGATGACATAAGTGTCACGAATTCATGTTTCAAATTTCGAACGTTAGTCACCCTCAAACGTTACGCACAAAGTAAAACGGCAAACATATTGTTCACCAGGGAACTCGCTCGTCGGTTGAAAGGTAACCGAATGGTAACCGATGATGCTGCGCTTGATTTATATTAAATTAACTGATTTATATTAAATTAACTGATGTTAGTTTAGTACATACATTGAAACACACCGATCAAAATTAATGCATTTTGATATGCAAACTGGTATTTTTTCGTATTTGTTCGCATAAAAAAATCGTATATGCTTTTGATTAGTGATTAATCAGATAAAAAACATATCGATTAGTGATTATGAGTATGATAGGTGATTAGCATTTAAAATGCAATCTCATTTCCATTACCAGAGGCGAAGATCGATGGAATAAATGTTTACTCCTTACATCCTGGTGTTATAAGAACGCAACTGGGGCGCCATTATAATCAAACGTTTTTTTCGGGTGCAACTTTTTTCTTCCAGCGTATCATGGGACCTTTTATTAAAACCGCGGAACAAGGAGCGCAAACAACAATACACTGCTCTGTGGACGAAAATGTCGCCAACGAGACAGGCCTTTATTATATGTAAGAATTTATGCGATATAAAATTTTTCTCCTTTGAAATATGTATTATATATATACATATTCATGACAATATATAAATGCAGTGTCTGTTATTTCTAAGTTAGATTAGATTACGCATTCAATTACGTCTTTTATAATTATTTGTGTTTTGATTTTAATGGGTTGCTTTTTTGCATTATGATCTCGATAGAGAATGCCGCCCTTCCACAACTTGGAGGACAAGAAGTGATGAAATGGCCAAGAATCTATGGGACTATTCCTGCGAGCTACTACACTTGGAGCTTGATGAGAACCTTGCTATATTAAAAAAAGAAAACGTTGCAACGTCAAATTGTTGAGTAATGTTAAGTAACAATTTTTTCGTAATATTCGCATAAAAAATCGTATATGATTTCGATTAGTTAGATAAAAAATCAATTAGTTAGATAACATCGATTAGTGGTTATGATAGTGGATACGATAAGTGGTTGACATTCAAAATACATTTCCATTAGAGGCGAAGATCGATGGAATAAATGTGTACTCCTTACATCCTGGTGTTATAAGAACGGAACTGGGTCGCCATTTAATAATCGCATTGCCATTAATACAGTTTGGTCATGACGTATTTAGTTGATATTAACTTGTACGATTTTCTATCTATATGCAAGTTACACGTAATGAATTTTACAATAGTAAATTATACAGTTTGGTAAATTTTACAGTTTAGTTTATTAATAGTTTATTTTTTATTTTGCAACCGAGAGCGCATGATTTTATTTTCTGTAGTAGGAGAAGCGTCAGGAGAAAATGACCAAGATAGATTAGATTGCAGTTATATCTCAAAGTTATCCTCCGTTAACGCGTATGGACACATTATTATCTCAGCATTGTTCATCAGTATGTGAATAGCTGTTTTCTGTGTTAGCAAACATTTATTTTTTAATAGTTTATTTTATAATAATAATAAATTGCAAATATGGTCTGAATCGAGTAAAGGCGTCTAGAAAAATTTTCTAACTTTGGTATTCTAAAGATAAGTCAAAACCCGAGTAGCAGATATCAGTTTTCCGTTAGTTTTCGGTTAGTTATTAGTCGAAAGCACCGACAGTTGAAGATACAATATTGGCTTGACATTGTTAAAATATTGCAATCGGACGAACTATTAATCGGATTTTCTTTCTGTTTTCAATGAAAATTAGTGCATATTATTATTATTATGCTTTTTTTTCAAATTTTAAGTGTTTCAAGATAGCATGATATGTTTTGAGATAGCATGATTGGTTTCTAATCAGTACGTTAATAAATAAATTATTAATAAATTAATAAATCATTAATAATAAATAAATAATTAATAATTAATAATTAATAATTTATAAATAAATTATTAACAACTATTTGAATAAGAATACAAGCCAACCGTTTTCGAAACAAGATTTAGTCAAAGTTGGTCCAACGTTGATTATTTAATTATGTTCTACTCGAGAATAGAATATTAATTTTTTTCTAAAAATACGTACATATTATTATTATTTGGTTATTTGTTTAATTTTTATGATATCGTATCCAATTATCTTATTATAATATTATAATATTTCGTTGATAATAGGATATGTAAGAATTCTCTGCACTATTGATACGCTACTGATGCGCACATTGAGTGAAACGGAACGGTTCTCTATGGACGCGTTCCGTTACACGCTCGCAATATTCGCGAGAATCATTCTATCTTTGTTGCTCATGGATGTTAAACGAAGATGGAATAAGCTCGCGAGCGTTGCGAGCGTGTAACGGAACGCGCTCTATGCAGTCTATGCGCATTATGCGTGAAACGGAATGCGGCCTATGTCTATAGCTCTATTTCAAGGAGCGCTACTAACGCTGATCATGTAAAATACATGCGAAATACACGAGAGATAGACAGCGCTGCAGTCGATGTCTATTCGTGTTAGAAGACGGTCGCGTTTCCGAAATTTTGAGTGAAATCTTATATGTTTATAAAGCCCGTTCCACAATCGCGCACTTTGATTCATTAATTTTTTTTATTAATATCTCGAAATTTCATGTTTGATTACAAATTGTCAAGGTTTTCCGTGTTTAGATAAACGTGCATATGTGATATCGTGCGTCTTGCGTCAAGTACGCTGTATAAATTTTATAAACAAGTTGCAATAAAAGACATAGAAAATGGGTCTGTTCCATGCGACATGTACAAGCGAAGTATGTCTTGTGGGCAAAACTGCAATTATAACTGGAGCAAATAGTGGTATTGGCAAAGAGACTGCCAGAGATTTTTACGCAAGAGGTAAGTTAATATTCGCTACATTGAAAGGAAATAATAGTATAAGCTAACAAGTAATTTGGAGATTTTAACAAAAGGTAAAGAACTTTTAGGATTTTCAGGAATTTTATAGTGTGTCCCAAAATAAGAAACACATATTCTTTTGTAAGTGCCCGATTCTAATAAGAAGAAAACAATGTTAAATTTGACAGGATATCAACTCGCGCGCGATTAATATTAGCTGACAGTAATATTGCATGAATATTTCACAATTTCTCATTCAGTGATATAACTATTGGATACAACATATGTTATATTGCACGTATATTAAGTGGAAAACTATAACATTAATGTAACATTATTTTTTGCTAATTTTTATTGAGAAAGAATAATGTTTATAATAACATGGCCAAAAATTACTTAATATATTTTTGCAATAATAAAATAATTTTCATGCTGTATTTACAATTTTACGTACATTTCTTTACAGTTTTATATCAATCTGCGCTTGTGACGTCCGCGACTTGCATTACAAATGTGTAATTTGAATCTGAAATTAATTGGTGAGAAGGAAAAGAGTTTTTTAGGCGAAATATTATAAAGATTTATGTATAAATCATTGTTTCTTCACGTGAAATTCATGTAGTATATCGTTATATTGTAACGGTATAATATAATCGTTGGTTGGGTTACGGTCGGATGCTGCTCGCTGGAATTAGGATTCGGAAGGCGAAAATAGGTTTTGCCAAAATAATGGAGTTCTATATGTCTAAGTTGTTTGTAACTTTTAATTTGTCGTGTCAGATGTTGTGCAATTCAATAATCTTGCAATCTCGTTCGTTGAGGCTGTTTACAAGTGTTGGACTTTTATCATTCGTGATGATAAACGATTATAGCTTAATGTTATCTTCATTCTATATTTAGTGTTCTTTAACTTGACCCTCGACGTCGAGGCACACGGTTGAGTGCAGCGAGAGACGCGTCCGGCTATGCCAAGCGCGATGTTTATGTCCCTTACTTTAGATTTTACACAAATTTCTTTACATACACGTACGGCTTCACTTATCGTTCGTTTGCGAAGGTCGGCGCAGTTCGCTCGGTCTTTCTCGGCCGAGGTCGGCGCAGTGCCGGAATTCTGTAACTCGTTATGCAATCGTTATGTACTAATAACAATAGTTGCGCAGCCTTTCTGCGATATGTGATATCTGTGTAACTGTCGTTATCAACACATATAACGACTGCATAACGAGTTATAAAATTCCGGCACTACAGTTCTACAGTTCTACAGTTCTACAGTTCTACAGTTTACAGGGATTCTGTAACTCGTTATTAGAGTTAACGACAGTTTCGTTATCGTTACGCAGCTTTTGTATATCGTAGAAAATCTGCGCAACGATAACGAAATTGTCGTTAACTCCAATAACGAGTTACAGAATCCCAGCACTGGAGCGATTCGACAGCTTGCGACCGGAACTACTTGCATGGTTTCGATATTACGGCGCTGGCAGAATTGATAAACATAAAAAAACTAATATGAACTACGAGAAGTAATTAGCGCGCGCGCGGTTGCAGAAGACGTGGCGGGGGTCAGTCGGTGTTGTATTATTGTAACGCTTTGTTACATTGAAATATGCATTTGTAATTCATCATATTTTAATTAGTTAATATTAATAATCAAACGCTGAAATATCCAAGTATCAAATTGAGAAAAACTTAACATCGGGGATTAATAACTCGGCGTGTCCCAATGAATACATCATTCTTCAATATAAATGTTTAAAATGCAACTAATAATTTTATGTATATTATTGAAAGTATATATATTTACTTTGGGGAAATCTATATTGATGTTTCATGAATTCAAGACTGTCTTGCCGTATATAGGAATGATTTTTCTATATAAATATACATATTTGATTCATAAATTGAAACATTGGTGAAAATATATGTTTACTTGTTCTTGGTAAAATCAATATTAATTGTTTATGGATTTAAAATTATGTATCACCATATATAAAATATTGAATTTTCTCTATGTGTGAATATAATAACTATTATATGTATGTTTGCCGATATATAAACATATATAAAAAAAAGATATGTAAATATATAAATATAAATATGTGTGTGTATGTGTGTGTGTGAATAGAGCCATTGCTTATTTATTATTATTTTTATATTTTAATCAAAGAAGCAATCATAGTAAGCAATTATATTTAGGCGCTAGAGTGATACTAGCATGTCGAAACATGGAAAGAGCGAAAGAAGCGGTAGAAGATATAAGAAATAATCCGCCTTCGAGGTAAATATACCAATAAATATTTACTCACACCACTATCCTGGAATAAATCATCTATTTCGTTGTCCGCAATTAATAAGTGAGATGATTATTTTCAGGATCGCGAAGAGCGACTATCAAAAAAGAGCGGGCGAGCTCGCAATTTACACTCTGGATCTATGCAGTTTCAGGAGCATCAGGGATTGCGCCAAACGTTTGTTAACACAGGAAACAGCTATCAACATACTCGTGAACAATGCTGGGATAATGATGTGCCCGTACGCGTTAACGGAAGACGGCTTTGAGATACAATTTCAATCTAATTACCTTGGCCACTTTCTCCTGACGCTTCTCCTACTGCCAAAAATAAAATCGTCCGCTCCCGGTTGCAGAATAGTGAACGTGTCGTCGTTTATGAACTTTTGTACGTAGTGCAGTTCAGTAAATATCGAATTGAAACTATGAACTTTTGGGTGTAGGACATTATGTTCGGATTTTGTCTTGTAGTGTATTTGTATGGCTATCGAGAAAATATATTTGACGAAAGGAAATATATATTGATATTATATTCTTTTAGTTGGAACTATATATTTCGATGACATAAGTGTCACGAATTCATATTTCAAATTTCTAACGTTAGTCACCCTCAAACGTTACGCACAAAGTAAAACGGCAAACATATTGTTCACCAGGGAACTCGCTCGTCGGTTAAAAGGTAACGAAATACTGAATGTTACTGATGATACTGCGCTTGATTTATATTAAATTAACTGATGTTAGTTTAGTACATTAAAACACACCGATCAAAATTAATGCATTTTGATATGCAAACTGATATTTTTACGTAATGTTTGCATAAAAGAAATGATGTATGTTTTCGATAAAAAAAAACATATCGATAAGTGGTTGGCATTTAAAATGCAATCCCATTTCCATTTCCAGAGGCGAAGATCGATGGAATAAATGTGTACTCCTTACATCCTGGAGTTATAAAAACGGAATTAGTTCGACATTATAATCAAACTTTTTTTCCGGGTGCAACTTTTTGCTTCCAGCGTATTATGGGACCTTTTATCAAAACTGCGGAACAAGGAGCGCAAACAACGATATACTGCTCTGTGGACGAAAATGTCGCCAATGAGACAGGCCTTTATTACGCGTAAGAACTTTTATTTTGCGATATAAAATTGTTCTCCTTTGCAAGTTACGACAATATATAAATGCAATGTCTATTATTTCTATTTCTATTATATCTAAACATATTAGATTACGCATTCAATTACGTCTTTTATAATTATATGTATTTTGATTTTAATCGGTTGCTTTTTTACACTATGATCTCGATAGAGAATGCCGCCCTTCCACAACTTGGAGGACAAGAAGTGATGAAATGGCCAAGAATCTATGGGACTATTCCTGCGAGCTACTACACTTGGAGTCTAATGAGAACCTTGCCATATTTTTAAAAAACGTTGCACACCAAATTGCTGAATAACGTTAAATAACAGTCGCATTGTCATTGTGATAGAGTTTGGCCATAACATATTGTATTTGGTTAATTTGTATTTAATTGATGTTGAGATGTACGATATCTTATCTACCTGTAAGTTACATGTGATGAATTTTATAACAGTAAATTATAGTTTAGTGAATTTTACAATTTAGTTTATTATTGAACTATTAAAAAATAAATGTTTGCTAACATAGGAAACAGCTATCAGGATTATTTATATTTACTTCATATATCCTATATATTATTATATTTTATTATATTAATTATTTATAAATTTAAATTAATTACCAAATATAGTATGATCTTGTAAGTTTCTTGTAAGTTTGTTTTCTATTTGTAGCACATATAGGTAACCGTTTTTAATAAAAATTAAGTTGTTTCCTGAAAATGATAAAAATTAATAAATAAAAATTAATAAGAAATTACAAATTTGTGAGATCACACTATAAGTAAAATTAGTATAATGTGGACATTAATTAAATTAAAAACATATGTTACTTAAAAGTTTTTAATGTGGTCAACAATGCAATATTTATTTTTATCTCGACAAAGAATATTACGATATTAACGAGACCCAGTCGTATTAGCTTCCGCACGAGAAATTCTGCGCAGCGATGTGCAGCGATGTTAGAGAGAAGCGAGACTGTGCAGGCACTGTACTGGGGAGATGAACACTGAAAACTGCGTACACATGCGCTAATCTAGCCGAAGCGTGGAGCGCACGTGTACGCGGCTTTCTCTATGTGTTATCTCATCCTTTGGGCCCGATCTACAATAGACGGAGTAAGGAGTAGGAGTAGGAGTAAGACGAAATAGAAATAATTTATTTCGCTTACTCCCTTACTCCAATAAAAGTTTGCCCGTCTACATCACATGGAATAAGCCTGAATTAAGTAGTAAGAGCTGGAGTAAGGGAGTAAGCGAAATAAATTATTTCTATTTTGCCTTATTCCTACTCCTACTTCTTACTCCATTTATTGTAGATTGGGCCTTATAATTTTTACGAAGCCGCGGTTCTTTTCTTCGAGACATCAAGATTCGTTTGCCTCAAATTTACATCAAGTTTACTATTTTTCTAATCGTAAAAAATAAACCTTTTTTAGACATTCATATTGAATTTAAAAAATGAACTCAAATATTTATGTAATCGTGTCTTATAAAATTTTGTCATGTTTAAATCACTTTTATATTAATTAAATATATTATATATTAAATTACTTTTAATATTAATTATTTAAACATTATTTTTCAAGCAGACAATAGGTAAATGTGGGATACATTAATAACAAATGTATTGCCGTATTATAATGAAGAATTTAAATCATAATAATATATTAATTTGTAGTTTATTTCAGGTAAATGCATTTAATTTTTTCTATATATACGAAAAGTTGTACATAAATTTAACAAAAATTAATTATCTACTATTATCATACTATTATCGTAATAGAAGTCTATTGGGTTATATAAAGTTGCCATAAATTAATTATCACATACTGTTATTGTCATTGATTTCTATTGGGATTCTATTTTCTTGGATTTATTTCAAACTGATTTATTGTGTAAATTAAGCATTATAAAATATAACAAAAATCCAAAAGTAATCAGTGACATTACCAATACAACCGTTAATATACATTATATCAATATACATCATATGTTCACTATTATTGTATTATTTTTAGTGTTTGCCAGTAAATATATTATTACAAGATGTCGTAAACACTATATATACATTATATAAATTAATTTAATAATGTAATGTAAATTCGATTGCTGATAAATTCGATGATGTTGAGCCGTCATCACAATTGAATTTACATTAGTATCATATGTTTACAATTTTTCGCAAGATATTATATGCACAATCATGATAATATTTACTAAATTATGGGTCTCTTTATTGAGGTATATACTTAATGATAAATAAATCATCATTCTTTTCTTTCTTCTATATATGTGTAATATATACATGTACGATAGTTCAATACTACCGTATGTTTGCTGCGCACTTAATATACTAAAGTTTTGCAACAAATAAAATTTTATCATGACATATTAAAAAATAGACTTCAATTTTAGACGGATTTTGTTTTGGTAATGATAAATTTTATCAGTAATAACAGTTTCGCTTTAATATTAAAATATATATATGTATTAAAGATGAGACATCGAACAGAAATAATCGATTATAAGCTATAATCGGTAATATATCACCCATCTCTAATATACATGCTAGAGAGAAACGATGTTGCTTCAACAATAAATAACTGTATTTCTAATAAGTCAATCAGAAAAATTATTGTATTGTTCATCAAGGAAACGTACATTCTACTATAATATCAAATAATTAGTAAAATTAGGTATGCTAATACAATTCTATTATTGTCACTACAAATATATACTGTTTAGCTTGACTTACTGTAAAGATGAAATTCTTTTTCTACGAATACAAGCTGTTTGATTAAATTCAAGACACTAAGATTAGCCACGGAAAATTAAAGATCTAATAGCATTAGTAATTCAGCTTTGCTCTGCTCTTTACTCTGTTCACATATTCGTTTGGGATGTGTTGAAGCAATTTTCATAAGATCTGCTGGGATTTGTCCTAGCATGTCGACGCAGCGCGGGTCAGCACCGCATTCCAGCAAGTATTTAATTATATTCTTGCGACGGTGAAGACTTGCGAAATGTAGTGGCGTTTGTCCAGAAAAGTTCGGTTGCGATATATCGGCGCCAGCCAGACGGTATGATTGCAAGCGTTCAATGTTTCCTACGACCGCAGCCGCGCACATTTTTTCTCCTAATAGTCGAGGTTCCCAGTGAAGATGTGCGCCACACATTCGCAACACCGAAATAATCTAGGAAATGTTAGTCACTAGTTAGAAAATGAGTTGCTGTACTCGTGAGTTTAAAGCGTTCAATCTTGTTTTGGAGAAAGAAGAAGAAATGAAAGAAAAAGCAAAAATTGAATGAGGGAATTGTAGAAAAGCGAAAAGAAGTTACGAGTTTTAGGGATGATTGAGAAGAATGAAATTGAGGGTAAAGAGAGAAGAATGAGGAAAAGAAGGAAACTGTAAACGGAACTGGAAGTTAGAACACAAAGAAAGAGAAAGTGTGTGTTTGTGTATGTGTGTTTAAAAAAATATATATACAATAAAATAGTTACTTTATGAAATTTAACAAACACATTTTAGTACAAAGTGACTTCACCTCGTGATGATCGTTTTCTATCGCATCGATGAGAGGTGTGCGGTCAAACCGATCTTTAGCATGAACGTTTGCGCCCACAGTTAAAAGATACCGAACGATTCCTATATTTCCCCCGCAGCAAGCAATATGCAAAGCTGTTCGGCCATCTGCGTTTCCTTGCGTCATATCCGCATTCTAAGCAAGATAAGCTGATTACATTAACGTGTCTACAGTGTGCTCTTATTTTTCTAATTAGCATCTGATTAATTTAATCTGTTTATTATTGAAATATAATTTTACGTTGATATTAGAGCCAAGACTAATCCTGTGAAAAAAGAACACAGACGACAGAAAAATTTAAACAAATATTCAGTAAAATTAAATTATTCTAATCTTTTGTATGCCTTTTAGGATTTCCTATTGAAATTTGAAAAACAGTTAGTTAATATAGAGTTAAGTAGAACCAAAGTCACTAACGTATTCTTTTAACTGCTTCAGCTTCATAATATTGCGTTTGATTGTTGCATCGTTGAGCATAGCTGGAAGCAAATACGATTTTATATTCTGAAGTTCTTCTGTTGAGGATAATCTCAACGATTGTTCCACAGCTTTCAATAAGTCAGAATCCCTGATGTTGGGCAACCGGCCAGATGTCAGTTCACCTCGTAAGCTAGTTTCCATCATTATTTGTTTGGTTTTTGTGTCCCACTCGCTTTTCGATAAGACGTACGCGAGTTTTGTCAACGCGGCTTCCGGAGTCATGTCGAAGCCAGATGTCACACCTATATTGATAATAAGTATATTAATAACAAGTTAATATGGGAATAGCAAATTAATATTTGCTTGCTGAGAAGAATATCTAAACTTTTAATACTTTCAACATATCAATACATCGATGAAATAACATTTTTATTGATAATCTCTTTAAAATATTCTTTTAAATATTCCGTCGAGAAACTAGATAACAAAGAGAGTAAGCGAGACCTCAGAGTGCCTAAAAATTACAATTGTTATTGCGTTTAAAATAATTATCAGTAAAGAAAATTTAAAGGACGAATATATGTGAGTTTGTATTCACTATATCTAATTACAGCAATATTAAACTAAAATTTTTTAATTATTTTTATGTAGAACAACCGCAATTCAGGATCTCAGAGGTTTCACTTACTTAAGTGAAATGTATTTATGTCTTCTTATCACACATATAATTGTACAAGTTTTGTATAATAGCTCCTTATTACAATCTTTTTCTACTCCACATCGATCAACAATTTTCTATGGAAAAATTTAATACATAGAAATTGAACGTTAGTAATTACAATAAATATTTTTTTTAATGATTCTAATTTGGGACAGTGGCTGCTATAATAGAGGGAAAAAGGCAGCTATTATATAGGATTTATTTATCTTTACTTTATAAAATATCCGCATTATTTATAATAATAGAGCGAATGTCTTGAGTGAGAGAGAGAGAGAGAGAGAGAGAGAGAGAGAGAGAGAGAGAGGACAGGATAATTTAAAATAAAAAAAATTATTAAAAAAAATATATAAAAAAAACAATCATATAATATGCGTTCTTTCGAAAACTGAATGTTTCCGTTTACAGTCAGTTTACACTTAAAAGCAATCAGCAAGTTTATTCTTAAAAGCAATCAGAGAGAAGATATTTTAGATCGATAGATAAATAAATATTACGTGTTTGGAAAAAAATTTCCTTTAAGAATTCTTCTTAGATAGTAGAGATCACTGGATTATTCTATATTTAGACTATTAAAATTTTACTGGGTTTTAATATACTGTTTAATATACTATTTAATTTAATATACTGTTATTTATATTACGGAAATATACGATACCGGCTTCCCGGAGCATTTTTCCAGCTTCGTACATGTCTGAGATGGATCCAGTCATACATTGCGTAATATTCACGATAATCACACCACGAGCCGCTGCTTCGCGAAGTGCACTGATGATATCTTTGCGATTTGTCGGGATGTTTCCTGAACCATAAGACTGTAACACGACTCCCTCGATGGGTGGTTGAAGAAACGCTTTAACTAATTTGTACGTGATTCCAGGAAACAGTCGAAGTAGACCCACATTTTGATTAAGAAAGGTGTGTACATCGAACTTCTGCAAGGTGCATGGTCGGAAAAACGAATCGTACTCAACTGTAAAGGAATATTATTTTTAAGCAACGTACAGTAGGCTTAGTTCTTAATATTTATGCCTGCGGCTCACGAGCTATAAGTTTGATTTATTGTATCAATTAAAAATTTGTTTTTTTTTTTAGTCAAATTTAGCTTTGATGGAAAGAAATTATTCATTCCCCAAGTAATCACTTTTGTTATTTGTGATTACATGTATATTATATAATTTTATAAGCTTCAATAATTTGAAATATCCTGATAGATATAAATTTGAAATATCCTGATAGATAAATTTTACACATATATACATATATTCGCATATTTGACTTGGTAATTTTTAAGGTCAGAGATTTTAAAGAGATTCTAAAATCTCAAACAGACTACGAACTTTGCTTGTCTCACCTTTAATCTTGATATGCGCCGTGGCCAAAGGTAAGCAGTTCGGTGACTGGAAAGCGTCGAACGAGCACGCGGACACCTTGCTCGTTCGATTGCCGCGCATTAAGTTCGTCCCGAAGAAAATGCATACTTCAGGTATATTGTAACTACCTGCGATCACCAGCGACGTGAGGAAGTTATCTAGACCATCGCTCCTTGGATGAAAGATTGGTACCTGCGAACCAGTCAGAATGACCGGCTTGCCCAAGTCCTCGAACATGAAGGACAAAGCGGATGCTGTGTAGCTTAGTGTGTCTGTACCGTGAAGGATTACAAATCCATCGTAATTTTCATAACATTCCTGCAGAGGAATATAGTGTGATAATTATAATAATGTAATAAGTGTATTTACATACACCTTGTTGCTTTATTAACTTGATATACAGAGTGCTTTAGTAGCAATTTTGAAAGGTGCAAGAGATTCCAATATAGACTCTTCTCTTCAATCAAACATTAAATATTATTTGAACAGATGCTTTTTGAATACTTTAGTTGAATATTATTTTGATACATATTCCCAAAAGAAGATTTGAGTACATAATGAAACGAGTCAATAGGTAAATAACATGTTACTGAAAAATACTTTCTTGCAACTGCTCGTATCTTATTTATCTTTCCACGTGGAATCATCACTAAGCATCTTAATCAGTTACGACGTTTCCTATATATTTATTCGTATCGATACGTCCATCGTGGATTATGTTTATAAAATATTCGTTCTTGAGAAAGAAAAACAAATTTCACTGTATTGTTTAATCTTTATCAATGCTATTTATATAACATACCTTGATATAGTCAGCAATACGAATCCAATCGTTCATAGTTATGTTGCTAGAGTCGCACACATTTGAGTATTGAGATATCTTGTAAATAATTCGACGATTGTCGGCTGCAGTTTCACTGCGAAATTAAAAACAAGGTGCTTTAAGTGTTGAGTAAAAAAAGATAGGAGAGAAAAAAGAAAAGGAGAAGAGAGTTTGAACGATAAAATCCAAATGTCTGCTAACAAAAATAAATAAAGACGATCAAAATGTTGATCATAATGCATTTTTTAGACTCGTATATAGTCTTTTCTTTTTTCTGACGATGTTTCTATTGGACGAAATAATAATTTTACTTACGGAAGCACTAAGTATGATTCTTCTAACTCACTGTAATTTCTAGAGGCATACTCGCTGTCATGTAACTGTGGAAATTTTCGTAGAGCCATGATAAATTCATCGATTACCGGTGCTAATACTAAAAAGTAAACGTTTATAATAATACATAGAGAGATAGAGAGAGCCCATACAAAACAAATAATATTTAAACATCTTTGGGATATCTCTAGAATGTATTTCAACATTTATACTTTATAAAGGAGTGAAATTGAAAATGAAAATGTTGTGATATAGAGACTCCGTGGAAGTAAAGATGCAAGAAACTGAATTTATCGATAATCAAAACTTTGAATCATTATAATTTTTCTCGAAGTATACGCTGTTTAATAAAAATATTTACCTCCCTCCTTGTTCCTCAGCATTCCTATCGTACCACCCGTATATAATACCAAGACCTTTCCTTCCGGTTTAATTTCGAGAAACTTCTCATCCACATTTTTGTTATTAAAAACATTTTTCGCATTAGCATTACTATTGCTGATGCCTGGCGTCTCTTTTTGCGACTCGGAAGATGATAGTGATGACATAATCGTTTGCGAATGATTTAGAAACGACTTATCGCCTTAACAGCCCGTACGAGACTAATCTCTTATGCAAGTGTAACCGCCGATTTTATTGAATTTGGTCGTCGACAGTCTCCGCCTTCGATAGTTATTGACAATGACAGATGTTCTTTTTTATCTTCTTCTTTTCTGTATTGCTTCACGTCATTGCTTCTAGCAGCGATTTTATGTGAGATCTATTTGTAAGATATTTTATTTATGTTAGATATCTATTAGGTGGTAAACTTAGTTCCTGCGGCTCACAATTAGATGACGTTAGTTGTAGGTGTAATTTATTTTGACATCTGAAACTGGCTGCATTTTAGAGTTAGACATTTGTCAATAAAATTCAGTGCGAAGAGATTCATTTAAGCGAGCAGTGCTATTTTTTCTTTTGATTAAATATGGAACGTGATAAGTTGTTTTTTCGACATGTGCTGCTTCATTACTTTGACTTGAAAAAAAC